CGCTCTGCTTCGGACATTTTAGGATCATTTAACCTGTGTGAGGGAGAAAAAAAAAAAGACCTTATTGGTACAAGGCTGGTGAAGCTCAGTATGGCCAGTATCTACGATGCCCTCCACTGTGCCAGCTTCACAGTGGCAGCACTCAGATCCGGGGTGTCTCACCGGAACACCTAGCTCCCGTTTACCACCCTGTTATTTTTGCACACCCGCAGCAAGACTGCTACCCTAAGCTATGAATCTCAGCCTTCATTAGAGTCGACGGGCAAAACAAACACCACCCTGCACAAACCATTTAGACTTCTCCACTGAATCTAGAGAAAACACTTCTGACCAATTAGACTAGGGGAAGCCCAGGGTACCTTGGTACTCACCGTTAACTGGTTCTGGGAGGTGTAATGAGTACCAAACAAACTTGGCAGAAAGAGTAGCAAGTCATGGGGCAATCGACACTGACAAGTCCTAGCTTGCACTTCGAGCACCAAACATTGAGTATGGGACAAACTTTTCACATCAAAATATGCTGAGTACCAAATTCAAAGAGATTCAAAGCAGCTGAACACTAAGGCATGCCTGTAGCGACTTCCCTAACCAGAATTTCACCCATGGCAGTAAAAAGCATAGAGCAGCAACTCTGCTTACAAAAAACAGATCTGTAGTGAACAGAACAATTAACTGACCAAAACAAATTATAGAATGTCTCTTAACTTTCTCTATTACTTCCACCTCATTCTTTCTGAAATGAGTGTGTGGAAATACACTTTACTTGCCAAGAACAAGTCTGCCCAGCGTGATGGGCAGATCTGAGCACCACCTGCCTGGCAGGTACACCTGACATTAGGGGGATCTAGGCTATGTGGGAGCTGGGACAGATGTGAAGGGCTGAAAATTCTACTTATCACTTGCTGATTTGATAAGTGACTTAAAAAAATGTCAATTCTTGAATTAAAAAATAGTGAAATTTTGCTTAGTTGCAGTACTGATTTTTTTTTTTTTGTGCCAGGGATCGAACTTGGGACCTGGCGCTTGCGAGGCAGGCATGCAGTACTGATTTTATTTTGTACATTTCTGGTGGCAAAGAAAGGGAAACCAGCAGAACACTAGGAACAGGAAAAGTAGTAAAACAGAGAAGACAGGGCCAGTGAGGGGGGCTCACAGGCACGTGTGACAGGTACTTCTCCCAAGAGCCCAGGAGTACCGAGCCCAATATAGACTTGCTCCCTCTATCCTCCCAATGCCAAGGCCAGGCGCACCAGTCATCATGGACAGCACACACGTGGGACCGACTACACAGGCTCTGGTCAAAGGGCTTTCTGAGGGCACGCGCTCTTTTAACTGTCAACTAGGATCTATTATCAACATTTCACACAAGAGGAAAGTGAAGCACAGAGTAACTAACTTGATAAAATTTCACAGCTGTTAAAAACCACTACTGATGACTAAATCAATGGCTTGGAAGACAAAGGTCTAAATTTCAGAACTTAAGGTAAAAGTATCTGGAAGGTAATTATAGGAAAGCCAGTATATCCACATTGAAAAGAAATGACTGTAACTCATGGTTGAAATCAAATTAAGACAAACCCTAGGGGCTGGGGATTTAGTTCAGTGGTTTCGCTGCCTGCTGCATAAGCGCAAGGACCAGAGTTCGATCCCCGGTACCAAAAAAAAAGCAAAACAAAATTAAGACAAACCCAAGAGAAAAGCTATTGGAATGGAGACTGAGCAACAGAGTACAGTCTCAACCCAAAACTACACAAGGGTTAAGAATGGAACTGTATTCCATGTTCTTAGCTTTGGTTAAAGGAGAAAAAAAAACCTCTAGAGAATCAAATCTGTTACAGAGAGAGAGGGTGTACAGAAGAAAAGCCACACAATGGGGGTAATCAGGTAAACTGGAGACACAGGCTGAGGTGTCAGCTCTTTGTAGCACTGACTCCAGCATTACTGCTTAGATTTTTAAAAAATTTATATATTAATTGGTACATTTTAGGTATACAATATATTTATATTTATCATTGGGTGTTTGTACCTGAACATGATGTATCTTAGTTCTTATTTTTTTCCCCATTACCTATTCGCCCCTTACCCCCACCACCCTTCCCTATTTACACAGACTTTATTTCCCTTTTTTTTCCTCTCATAATTTTTCCTTTCCTTTCTTCCCTTTCCCCTTCCCCTCCCCCTTTGGACCTTTTCCTATTTCAAATCATCAATTATTTGTTTTAATCATTTTCATCCTTATTTACACTTTCAGTTTCTCACACTAGAGATACTATTCGGTATTTACACATGTGTGTCCTATTTATTTCACTTAAAGAGTATGGCCTCAATATGTATCCATTTAGCTATAAATGACTCTAGTTTCTCATTCTTTATGGCTGAGTAGTACTCCATTTTATTAAAAAAAACCACATCATGGGGCCGGGGGTGTAGCTCAGTGGTTCCGGTGCCTGTCTTGCAAGCGCAAGGTCCCAAGTTCAATCCCCGGTACCAAAAGAAAAACCAAAAACAAAAACCCAAAAAACCCCACATCTTCTTTATCCAGTTTCCAGTTGATGGGCACTTGGGCTGTTTCCAAACCTTAGCTATTACAAACTGTGCCGCTATAAACATAGGTGCACATATATCACTGTGGTACTGTTTAGATTTTTAGGGAACTGATTAAGAAACTGCCTCATTCTTGAGAGGTAAATTTTGGTACTAGCGCTTTTTCTCCTGATAGCGCTTTTTCTCCTGATAGCGCTTTTTCTCCTGACATGGGATACCTAAAAGAACCATAAAGCTTGTGAGGAGCTTCAATTGGAGCTAGCAAGGCGGGTCACGTCCCCAAAAGACTGGCATCTGACTTAGATGGTAGATCACTTTCTAAAAGGTAAAACTATTTTTGTTAGTTTCTCCCAAACTCATTCAACTGGGGGGAGGGGAAGAAAGATGAACATAAGTAACTATATACTCCTCAGAATGTCGTAAAGTCCAGGAATATTTTCTGGAAAATACTGCCTTAGACAAGTCAAATAAGTCTGGGTCAATATATGATAAGTTAAAGCTCAGCCTGGGCAATTTAGCCTGTCTCAAAAAAAAAGAAAAGAAAAAAAAAAAAACACAAAGAGGACCACAGAGCTTCAAATTATGGAACTGGGCTGTTAGAAGCTACAATCAGAATCCAAGAAAGCACCTAGAGGCCCAGGGATCAGGGTGTCCAGTGTAGAATCAATGCACAAAAAAATCCCAGGTCAAGTCACTATGCAGCTTGAGACCTAAACAACAACAACAACAACAACAAACAAGGCGGGATGAGATGTCTTTATCAAAGGGTACTGGCAAGACATTCTGCCAGTGCAGAATGTTCAGTGCATTCTTAGTGAATATAAACATTGGTACACTGTGTGTGTGTGGTGTTTGTTTTTTGTTTTTTTTGGTACCTGGGATTGAACTTGGGACCTTGTGCTTGTGAGGCAGGTGGCGGCACCACCGAGCTAAATCCCCAGCCCCTGTGAATGGTATTTTAGCAGTACTTGGGATTGTGTAGCCTTTGCACTAAGCTATATCCCAGCTCTCTTTTTTTTACTTTTTGAGACAGGGTCTTGTTAAGTTGCCTTGGCTAGGCTTGAACTTGCCACCTTCCTGCTTCAGCCTCCCGAGTGCTGGGATTACAGGTGTTCATCAGTGTACCCAGCTTAAGATATCTTTCTGAGGTAGGTACCCAGACCTGGTAAGTTCCAGAATTGCTACTGATCAGTTCCTACAGGAAAGGTTACCACAGCAAGCAGATCCCATCTCCCTCACATGGAAGCAGTACTTTCTGGTAATGGGCAGGCAGTTACTGACCTCACAGAGATAATACAGAGGTAAATTCCTCTCTTGAAATTTCCTTTGTAGAGCCATAAGTAACCTGTATGAGTATTCTACTTAATCCTCAATGATTCTGTTGTGGGGCAAAACTCCTGGGATACTGGTGATAAAACTGCGATTTGGAGAAATGAAGTACAGTGGTACCTTGGTTTTGCCAGGAACTTAATTTGTTCCACGAGTTTGGAAAAGATGGCCACATTTGTGTTTGTGTGGGGAGATGGCTGCAGTCCTGTAGAGTCTGCCAATGCAGAATTTGCAACCAAAAACAAAATTTTGCCAAATGCTTTTGTTTGCCAACCAAAGTATTTGCAAAGAAAAGTGTTCATGAACCGAAGTACTACTGTATGTTGTCTACAGCCCGAATTTACTAAGTGGCAAAGCTGAGGGTCTAGACTAGAAGTCTTCAAACACAATGCTACGTAACATTATGTTACTTACAACCCCACACATGTACCACTGTACTAACAGATTTTTTTAAAGTATAAGATAAAAGAAATATAAGTAGAAATTATATTAGTTTCTTTTAATATCCAAATGAGTTGCAATATACATTGTGTTTCAGAGATAACAATACTTTTTAAAATTTTTATGGTTTTTACTTTATATTACTCTCTGTTCCATTAAAACCCGAATTAGTCCAGGTCCCTTATTTGTTGAGTCTGAGACCCTACTTGTCACTGCTATTTAAAAAATTCTCTGTATTCTTAGTTTTTGGCAGAGGATTATATTCCATTGGTAACTTGTTTTAGAAGCACTCTACTCCTTCCAGTACAGCAGTTTATTGTGTGTACTCATTGTTATTTACACTGTGCTAAACTAGTTTTTATTTTTTTTTATTTTTTGGTACCAGAGATCGAACTCAGGTCCTTGCGCTTGCGCAGCAGGCGCCGAAACCACTGAGCTAAATCCCCGGCCTCTAAACTAGTTTTTAAACAGTCACACTTTCAGATGCTAAAGAATTTAGATCCAGCTTCCTTAGAAAATCACCACTGTGTTATTAAATCATCTTCTGTACCTTTTACTATTTTACAGATTGAAATTGGCAATTAAGGGCATGTGATGCTAATTATGTTACTATATGTACCTAATAATACTTATATACGTAATGATATGGTGTCTAATCTTTATGGGTAGCATGAGAAAGGAAATTCATATTAATGATGATATATACCTTAAGAACAAGACCAGAATTCTCACTTTATTTAAAGTAATAATTATTCTTCATATTTTTGGGGAAATACTGAGCATGCATTTTTTTGTTTGTTTGAGACAGGGTCTTGCTATGCAGCCCTTGCTAGCCTGAAAATCACAGTGATCCTCCTGTCTCAGCCTCCTGAGTACTGAGATTACAGGTATGTACCACAACACATGGCTGAACATGTGGTTTTAATCAGAGTTGCGAGTAGTAATGATTTAATAAAAGGCACTGTTTTTGTTTTTCTGAGATAGTGTCGCTATGTAGCTCTGGCTGGTCTTGAACTATGTAGCCCAGGCTGGGCTCAAACTCACGGTGATTCTCCTGTCCCAGTCTCCCAAGTGCTGGGATTACAGGTGTGTGCTACCATGCCCAGCAAAGGCAGTGTTTTTAAAAACACACACGTAAATGTAATTGTGTTGTATACCTACAATGTACCAATAAAAGAATTTAATACAAAAAAAAAAAAATAAAAAATAAAAACACACACACATAAGAACACACACATTCTTTTGGGCTGCATGGTGTTAGTAAAACAATACTTCTCCAAGGAAATTCTAAGAAATGAGCTACCTTGTTAAAAGAAACTGGGAGTTCTGGAGCGTCTGCTGACTGCTTTCTGTGCTCGCTACGTTGGTTGTTGCTGTGGACTGTGTGATTGTGGTGGTGACACTGCTTGTGTTGGTGCGCCGGGTGGCGTTGCGTGCTGTCTCCAGTTGCTGCCGCGCCGCCTGGGCGTGCTGCCGTTCTAGCTGCAGCTGCATCTGCAGTTGTTGTAACTGAGAGGCGGAAGGGCCAGAAGAATTAAGTTGTCCTCCTGCAGAACGTCTCACTCCTGATAACTGAGATAGAAGCTCTGCCAAAGGAAATGAGATGATCAATGTCTACTTGACACTGAGGAAAACAAAACATTACAGATACTGGAAGAACACCCAAAGCATTGTGAGCAGGTGGGGGCCCTAGTGACATGTAGCTCAGCTAGGACCCAATACCTTCTAGACTATCTCTTGGAGGCAGGAGTCACTGTGTACCAGGAATGCAAAAACCTACACAATTATTTCTGTTTTCAAAAAAACTTAAGAGACCGTTTGTAGAATTATTTCTACAAAGTACTAATTTAGTTATACTTCCTCTTAGAATAGCCAGGAATGATGATGCATGCCTGTAATCCTAGACTTGGGAGGCTGAGGCAGGAAGATAGCCCTGAGTTCAAGGACAACCTGAACTACACAGCTAGACCCTGACTTAAAAACAAAAAAAAGAAACAAACTTAGTAGATTAAAGTGGGCCATCAATAGGCCTAATCATAAGTTCTCTCAATATGAATTCTACAAAAGGAGCAAATGAGGCTACTGTTTTCTGAGCTCTCAGATCACAGCAGATATTCCACATTTATTAAATGATTGAAGGGATTATTAGGATTACACTTGAGAGTTAGAGAGGTCCCTCTCCTGCACATCTTGGCGACCCACTGGCAGTGCTCAGCTAGGTGTGCTCCCCAGAGCCTGTGGGCCTGTGCAGTGGCCGTGGTGTCCCAGACTCCGTGTCAAGGGGGCTGAGTCATGGGAGGGTGAGGAGGGCTGAGGGAGAGGCTCGGCGGCGCAGCACTTGGTTAGTGCAGGAGAGCTGGGTTTTTTTTAATCTCCTGTAGCACCCAAAAGGAACTAAGAGGAGCAGTGTGGCTCTGTCTTCAGGAGGTGCAGGAGGCTCTGCCTAGGCTACAGGGCATGGACAGTCTCCTAGCAGAGGATCTTGGGTCAGCAAAGTCCCCCATTTCCCAGCAACAATCACTAACAAGGTCAGCTTCCTTTTCCCCACTCACTATGTTTACCCGGGGATCCTCACTCACTCTGATGGCACATCACCCTCACTAAATACACTGATTTTCACTGACAGAAACAAATCAAAGTACTGTAGAATAATTCTGAAGTTTGATTTTGGTTTCCAGAAGTTACCGTTTAGAGTCTCCACTAAAAAGATCAGGTAAGTAGTCCTTCTGAATAAACAATATTAATATTTAAAATCAAATCTCCAAAACTCAAGTTTACTGGGGTTTTCTTTCTTGGGATTAAAATTTTATACTGTATATTTACATTTCAAAGAACACTTTATAAGTAAAACTATCCCAAGTGCCTAGCCAGTATTTAGGGGTGCAGCAAGTTGTGTCACGTGTCAGGTATGCACCTCAAGTGAACACTCATGCACACTTTGGGCAGCCATCCCACCCATGTGCCAGGGGCTTCTTACAGATTTATTTTGACCTTGTGCTGTGCTGCCAATCTCACAGGCTTAACACCAGACTCGGACTTGGCCTCGAAATACAGGCTCAAGCTATTAAAACAAGTACCCTTCAGTATGTTCTACAACAAAACAGCTGTCAAATCAAGCCCAGGACATAAAAATTCCTCTGTTCTTCCACAAGAAGCTCTTAATTCTCTAGTTTGGTCAATTATCTTTTTTATCTGTGTACTTGGGGAGACTGAGCCATGACTGGAGGCTTCAAACACACATAACACCATATTATCTCAAGCCCCTAAGTACTTAATGGATACAGACTGATATGAACTACTTTATACCATCTACATTTATTTATATATTTATTGGTACATTTTAGGTACACAATACATTTACATTTATCGTTGGGTGTTTGTACCTGAACATGATGTATCTTAGTTCTTATTTTTTTTCCCATTACCTGTGCATCCTTCACCCCCTCCACCCTTCCCATTTACAGGCTTTGATTCTATTTTTTTTCTTTCTTATAATTTTTCCTTTCCTTTCTTCTCTTTCCCCTTCCCCTCCTGCCACCCCCAAACCCGCGGACCTTTTCCTATTTCAAATTATCAATTATTCATTTTAATCATTTTCATCCTTATTTATACTCTCAGTTTCTCACACTAGAGAAACTATTTGGTATTTATACACGTGTGTCCTATTTATTTCACTTAAGAGTATGGCCTCAATATGCATTCATTTAGCTATAAATGTCTCTAGTTTCTCATTCTTTATGGCTGAGTAGTACTCCATTTTATAAAAAAACCCACATCTTCTTTGTCCAGTTTCCAGTTGATGGGAACTTGGGCTGTTTCTAAGCTTTAGCTATTACAAACCGTGCCGCTATAAACATAGATGCACATATATTGCTGCGGTATGATTCTTTGTATACCATCTACATTTAAAATATTTCACTCTTGGGGCTGGAGGTGTGGCTCAGTGGCAGAGCACTTGTCTAGCATGTGTTGAGGCTCTGGGTTCAATCCCAAACACCACACAAAGAAATTTTTTTATATTTCTAAAATATTTGGAGCCGGATGTGGTGGCATAGGCCTGTAATCCCAGCACTTAGGAGGGTGAGCCAGGAAGATCTTCCTGAGTTTGAGGCCAGCCTGAACTACACACCAAGACAATGTCTCAAAAACAAAAAAAAAACCCAAAACAAGCAAAAAAACAAAACAAAACAAAAAAAACCCCAACAATAACAACAAAACAACAAAAAAGGACATTTTAGCTGGGTGTGGTGGTGTATTTCAATTATCCCAGCACTTGGGGGTGCTGAGGCAGAAGGATCACAAGGAGGGCTACATAGCAACTTCAAGGCCAGCCTGGACTAAATAGCAACACCCTATCTCAAAAAACCAAAAGGGGAACTTCTGTGAAGAAAACAGGCACCAGATGATCAGGTGTAAGACTAAGAACACAAATCCCAAAAGTTTTTTTTTTTTTGGTACCGGGGATCAAACTCAGGACCTTTTGCTTGTGAGGCAGGCGCTAGAACCACTGAGATAAATCCCCAGTCCCTTCCAAAAGTATTTTAAGAGGTGCTTGATAGGTTTCCCACTACCTCAGCAACTATTATGTATAGTAGCTGTTCTCTTCCTATTGTGCCTTGGCCCCTCCCCTGTGTGACGTCATGCCTAGATGGTTGCTCCCACCAAAGAACAAACCCTTCTTCCCAGCATCCCCCTGTTCCCACCTAGAGAGTAACCTAATACTCGCTCACCTCCTACCACCTAGTGACATCACCAGCTCCTCCATTCCCTCGTCACTACCTCACTCAAACTCTGCCTCAGCCCCTACAAACCCCTCCCCAGTCTCTATAAAAGACGCTCCCTGCCCCGGCCATATTGCCTTTGTCTCTCCTTTGTTCAGAGACAGCCCGGCAGATCTGTTCTCCTAATAAAGGCTTGTGGTGGCCTGGTCTAGTCTTGAGTTTTTGGCCCTTTTACCTGACAGTGCTCCTCTTCCCCCATTTCCTTTATGAAGGTGAAACTAACTTACCAGCTATAGGATCCATGGCTTCCCTATTGCTTGGAGAATATGAACTCTGAGAAGAAGAAAGTCCACCAGTAGAACTGCTAGTAAAGTGCATGTTTGATCTACGAGCACGAGGACCTCCTAGTCCTCGGCCAGGGTGAAACATTCTACGTACATGTCGAACACCACTCGATTCATCATAACTCAAAAGTTAAGGAAAATGCCAAGTATTTCACAGAAAGGGCAAAAACAATCAATGAGCCCTTGCTAGATAAACATACAAATTTCCTAAATTGTCAGCATTTTAAAGAGCACATTTAATTTAGAATATAAATACCTTGACTCTATGAAGCCTGTTAACCCTAAAAAATATAATATAAAGCAAAATTGTATGTGTGAATATGTGTGTGTACAAGGTTAGAAAAGTTTCTTTGGGGGCTGGGGATGTGGTAGAGTGCTTGCTTAGCATGTATAAGGCCATCGGTTCAAATCCCAGTGCCGCAGAAAAACAAAAATAAAAACAAGAAAGTTTCTCTGGGAAAAGAGAAATTTCTTCCTTGGCTCCACAGTAACACAGCCAGATAAGGTCAAAGGCGCCACCTGGTTAGACACCCAGGGGAAACAGCCACTATTCCAATCGCAGTACTGAATTTCATATATGTTTATGTAATCCAAGTAACCACAACTAATAAGTATCAATTTTTATATTTAGGAAGAGCTGTATCAATATAACATGACATTTATCAAGAAGTCAGACATCCAGCAGTCTCTTTTATCTCACACAGCTGAGTCAAACTGAAGGTCTTGAGTAGAAATAGCTGTCAAAACTTGTGACAAGCTAGGTGTGGTGGTGCACACCTGCAATCCCAGCTACTCAGGAGGGTTGTGAGGGTTATGAGGTCAAGGCCAACCTAGACTACACAGTGAGTTCAAGGCTAACTTGGGCTATATACCAAGACCTTGCAAATAAATAAAATAGAATAAAATAAAAACAAATCCAAAGCAAACAGCAAGCAAACAAAAACTTCATGAAGACAAGCCAAGTGTGGTGGCACACACCCGTGAGCCCAGCTATTCAGAAGGCTGAAGCAAGAGGATTCCAAGTTCAAGGCCAGCTTAGACAATTTAGTGAACTTAGTGAAGTCTGGTCTTCAAATACAAAGAGGTGGAGATATGTTCAGTGGCAGAGCACTTGGCTAGCATGGGGCATGCCCTGGGTAAAAAACACGGCAAAAAACAAAACAAACAAAAAACCCCTGCAACTCATGTAGACAACCTGAGTTTTTAAAGTTTTTAAGTTTACGTGTGTGTATGCGTGAGAGTGTGCATGCTTGTAGGGCAATTAGACATTGTAGAAGGAAATTTTCTTTCAAAGTGACAAACAGAGCAACATTATGCAGATTAACTGTTGAGTAGCTTTTGTTTTTGGTACCGGGGATCGAACTCAGGTCCTTGCGCTTGTGCAGTAGGCGGTGAAACCACTGAGCTAAATGCCCGGCCCTATGCAGATTAATTGTTTTGCTGGCATCCTGGCTTTTCGGATGGGTCTAGTCATTTAGGGACAGGGTGAGTAGCTCCACAGGGCCATCAGGCACCACCCTAACCTATATGGTTTCATAGTTCTATCTGGGATGATGGTCTGGGCATTAGAGAAAGTGATGCTAAGACTGCTATGTTTTGTTTGTTTGTTTTTTTGTTTGGTACTGGGGATCGAACTCGGGTCCTTGCGCTTGCGCAGCAGGCAGCGAAACCACTGAGCTAAATCCCCAGCCCTGCTATGTTTTGTTTTTAAGAAGCAGCTAGGTATGGAGTACACTTTAGGGTGACTTCCATCAAGACAGGAAAAACAAGTCTGGTATACACTAGTACACCCTGAAGACACTCCCTAAGGCCACACAGATAAACTTCCTACACGCAAGGTTAACATTGGGAATACCTGAAAAATGTGTATGTTTCCAGGATAACAGCCATGGCAACATTTTCTCCCTAGAACTTCATGGTAACAAATCAAAAATACATGTCATTTCTTATTTTAAATTTTGCATAATTTAATCTATTTTCCTAGGGACATCTCTAAAACACTCATGAAAATGGACACAGATGAACTGGGATATTCCACTGAATGGACACTGATACTATTAGAAGCCCCAGAATTTGCTGAAAAAGTTCATGACGTCAGCTTGACTTCAAATTATTTACTTAGTTTTTCCCTGTGAAGACAGAATGGAGTGTGGATCAAGCATAACCCTTCTGGGTATTGCACATTCTGGTAAATGCATAGCAAAGACTTCAATATTCTTGGCTCATTTGAGTTTTTCATTCTGGTTTCTCTTGCTGTTTCAGTGTTCCCTGTAAGAGGGAGAGAGGAGCCTCACTGGCTTCCTAGTCATTGACCCCACTCCCGATCCTGGCTCAGGCTTCTCATGTCTCGGGCTGGTGCCAGGTCTCCATCTTCCCATCACTTTTCATTCACATTCCCCTACATCTAAAAAAATCACATTTCCAATTAGAAAACTGGGAATTTCGAGGGAGAGGTGGGAGCTCTAGAACAAGAAAATCACTGGTTTGTTCCCCAACAAGTTGAAGGTTGGGCTACGATTACTAGAAGGCAATCAAAAGTCTGAGAACAGGGCTGGGGATTTATCTCAGTGGTTCTGGCACCTGTCGTGCAAGCACAAGGTCCTGAGTTTGATCTCTGGTACCAAAAAAAAAAAGTCTGAGAACAAAGTCTGGCAGAGAGAGAAAGTTCTGATTAGCTCTCAAATTGCTTCAAACTGCAATGAACACTGCAACTTTGGTATGAAAACAGAAACCTAACAGGTGATAGTTTCAGAAAAATAATTCATAGCCAGAAAGCAGAAGCAATGAGTGCACAATGAGTGCACAAAAGTAACTGCTCTGGTAAGCTAGTCATCTCAGGGAACACCAAAAGGGACTCCTGAAAGACAGGGAAGAATGGGCAGAAATGAGAGCAGGAAAAGAATTTAGAGCTAGACCTGACCTTATGCCATGCTACTCAGAGCCTGGGCCAGAAATGGCCTTCTCCAGAGGAGATGCCAAAAGGGAAAGGATCTCTCCAGCCCCACCATCCCACTATACCACACCCACAACAGGGTAAGGCAGCAGGGGAACAGAGAGAAGCACATAAAGCCTCTTTATATTGCACTGATTCAGTCTTAATTTGGATTAAGATTTTTCTCTTTTGGATGAAATCACCTCCCTGAAAGATTTATAACTTGGTGAAAACTGCCTTTAAAATTCTGATGATGGGCCAGTCAAGTTTCACTTTATAAACATGGTTCATATAAGAGTCATTAAGTACATAAAAAGAGAAATAAATAGCTCTCTACCCCAAGTCACTTTTAGGAAAAGGATTTTCAAATAAATAAAAATACTTTGGAGATTAATTTTTCTCCAGGGATACCATACTTAAGAATAATCAAAATGGCAAATGGCACAAACAATTCTTTCCCTTATTGCCTCTTAAAAGGATATTAAATCTCTAGGGGCTCTGTGTTCAAGTGTAAGATGAGCTGCAAAGTCATCCGTGACATGATTAGGATCGCCTCCAGGTAACGCTGCACATATTGGACAAATCTGAAATGAAAAAAAGCAAGTTTAATAAATGGACACTGATCAGTCACCTTTCTGGACCAGTATTTTGCTATAAATTTTACTACTAGCAAGTTTCAAACAGTCAAAACAACAGATCCTGAACTAGTGAGACTTAAGCAACAAGTGCTGCCCATCAGTGCTGTCTCTCCCAACTGAAGCAGTCTCTGAGGGTCCCACACAATAGACCTGACAGCGCGTCCAAACTCCACCTTTGGCAAGGCCTCCTACCCGACTGCTCAATTCTTATTTGCATGGTCTAACAACATCATCATCATCATCATCATCATCAACAACAACAACAACAACAACGAGTTTCCATAAAAAATTTAAAAATATTCTCTTTACTGCACATGTATGTTTAAGTCCAGTGTTGAATGGTAAAGACAGAATTAAGCCTTCCGCATATTTATCCAACATCCGTTAGCTTTGAGGGCCAATCCCTGAACAAGACAGCAGAGGTCTGACAGAAAGACAACTGTGCAAACACAGCAAGCCACACATTGTGTGGAGTGAGCTAGGTAATGGTCAGTGATAACATACAGATGTGCTCTAAATTCATGAATGGGGTTCCCCAGAAGAAAACAAGATGGGAACCAATTTTAGAACATTATTTCCTAGAGGGATGTGCAGTGTAGAAAAGTTTGTGACCAGGTTAATTTCAAGGAGTGTAAGATCAACTTCCCTGTGGGCCTTATGGCTAGAGAAATAAGGAGAAAGAAGAAAATAGTATATATGGGCAGAGTTCAGAGGGAGCTTGATAGTTTGGAAAGGTAATTTCTAAGACAGAAATTTAACCTGTCTCTAGTGAGACAGGTGGCAAGAGACTGGGAAGGACAGAAAGAATGAGAAACTGTAAGTGTCAAGGTGCTTACTTGTCCAGAAACCCAAACGGGCACATGCTGGTCCAGCAGTGTGGTCAAGCCTTCAAGTAAGAATAACTTCAGTCTCAACAAAGGGCCAAGGAAGGCCTGGTGCAAAGGGCGTGCCAAAGGGAGCCCAGGAAGTGCAGTTAATGTGGAGGCCAGTGCCTTCCCACAGTAAGAGAGCTCAAGACGGGACACGTATGTGTCATCACCAGGCAGGGCATGTGCCATGTGTGAGACAGAGGGTATCAGTTGGATTCATGCCCTGCTTACAGAAGAGGGAGAAGGACAGGGAATGTGAGATGTAGGTCAATGCTGGGAGATGCGACAGAAAACAAGCTACTCTCTGACTCCTAGAATGTAAACAAACACAGCTTCCCACCTTCTAATGTCTAGAGAGCAGAAGCCCCTGAGAGATTGACTCCAATTTAATAACAGTTTCTCATGCCCAGTCCACTGTCCTATTTATTGTGTGACTTGGAACTCAGCATATCCTCGAGAAAATCTAAGGATGCGCATGAGAAATAATGATTAAGCATGAGTGTATAAATGAACTAGAGAGCTCACAGTGGAAGATGCCTGAGGGCAAATGAGAAAGAGCAGACAGACGTATGTGTGCCTTTCTCAGGAGATGCCAGTAAGGTGGCTAGAAACTTTCCCTTGGAGAGAAAAGTAATTGTATCTACTCACAAGTTTACAAATTATCAAATTTTTTGTTACTAGGAGTTAAGGTTTACTCTGTGTACCCTGCCTATGCTGATACGGCCTGGTAGTGTTTGATACACTTGTCTTACATTCATGTGTTTCTGGCTTGCCTAGCTGGACTGCACATTTCTTGAGAGCTGTAGGGCAGTATGATTTGTCTTTAGTTTTTAACTGTGGCCAGACTTGCGGAAATTAGACCAACAAGATTTGAAGAAACAAAATAAGTAAGTTCTAGTTGTTTAAAATTAAATAAACCAACTTTTTCTTGTCCTGGAGATTGAACTCGGAGCTTTACACAAACTAGGTAATTGCTCTACTACTGAGCTACATCCATAGACCTTCCATTTTATTTTGAGACAGTCTCACTAAGTTGCCCAAGCTCACCTCAAACTTTTGATCCTCCTGTCTAGCTGGGATTACAACAGGTGTTCACCACCAGATATTTTTGGGACTCTTCATTTTCCAACAATTAATGAGAACTGAGTTAGGAACACAGTTTTATTATACAGGATCATAGGATCATATAAAATTTTATCTAAGGAGAACATAACCATCAAAAGGAAAAGGCATCTTTGTCCTAAGTTATTTCCTTTTATTTAGACTGGTCTTTGGATGAAATCTATATACAACTTGAGTTCCACAAAGGTAGTTAGTTGAAGAAGTGTCAATACTTTGAGGGCACATATAAACATTATTGTTTTTGGAATGGGGGTCTCACTACGTTGCCCAAGCTGTCCTCAAACCTTTGATCCTCCTGCGTAAGCCTCTCAAGTAGCTGGGACACAGGCACGTGCCACCCCACATGTAAATATTCTCAGATGAGAAATTGGCTCAAGGATATATATTCCTAGAAGGAAAACACAAATAACAAAAGTACTAAGGATGTCCGACCTAGATAACCTACAAATTAGAAAGCACTTTTTGATAGGGATGTAAAATAGAAAATCAAGATCTTCATTATTATGTATTAGCTTCAGTTCTACACAAAGTCTTTTAGATTGCATCGAAGTTACTGTGCTAGGATGAGGGTGGGTATTCAGAAAGAAATACTAAACAACCTACCAACTACCTTCCACAGTGCCTAAAGATAAAGAAATACTAAGGATGAGGAGTTATGGGAGTGGGAGGATCTGCCAGCTTGGCACCTGGCACAGAAAATCAAGAGATGAGATTTAGAACAAGTGGAAGATGTTGCTATGTTTTGGGCCACATGAAGTTAACTGACATGAGACCATGGAAAGGAAAACTAAGCTGTAGTGCTACAGGACCAGTGAGCTGGCCATCTTCTAAGCTTTCTATTTTATACTTATCAGGTGAATTCATGTTTAAGAATAAAAACTCTGAACATGTGTGAGGCCCAAGGTTTACTCAAGGTTGTATTTTCTCAGGGGTAATAGAGGGAACAAGAGGAAGAAAAATGAGCATAAAGTGGGGCAAGACAATCAGAAAAGAGGTGGGGGTGGGAGACAGATCCACTCTATCCTTCAAGGGCATAATCCTGAGTCATTATGCCCCAAATGCACACTATGTCCCTGCTAAATGTACACAAAGTCCCGCCCCATGGCAGAGGCTATCTGTCCATTAGAAAACCATCCAGAGTCAGCATTTTTGTTTGCTTTAAGCAGTCTAAACCAAATTTGGGCCTCCTTCAGTCTCTTTCTTTTTTTTTTTTGGTACTGAGGATCAAACTCAGGACCTTTCACTTGGGAGGCAGGCGGCAGCACCACTGAGCTAAATCCCTGGCCCTCAGTCTCTTTCTTGAGTGAATGCAACCAGGCAGCATTCTCCATCTGTGTACTGTGTACAGCTTTAAACACAAGAGAGGGAATTATACTCTGGATGCTGAGTTCCTTTCCATTTCTTGGTAGGCTTCTCAGGAAGGTACTTGTTTGTTTTGTTCACTGCTACAGAAAAATCCATCAAAAATCTGCCCATTGAATCCCGCATAAAACCTGGCCTTCCCTGAAGCTGGAGGCAGTGTGATGAGGGGTCAGGGTGCATGCCCATGAGCAGACCTGGTCTGATGGGCTGTCCTCTCAGACACTCAAAACTGCAGCAAGCACCTAATGGGAAGTAACGGTATATAGACTGGCATTTCTTCATGAAGTTTCTGGATCACAAACTTGATAAATCCACTCCTTTCTTTGATCTGATTAACTTTAGATCTATAGGCAACTTTTTCCTTTCAAGAGCATCTGTTCAAAAGCCTTGTTTTTTCTATATCATTTTCTTCTGTTACTTTCGGGGAACACCAAATTTTTGACTTACCTGTTCCGTGTCCATCATACATTTATGAGCAGCAAGACAGCCTTTTTGTGACGCCTACCCTTTCTGCAGCCCTGCTCAGTAACATAATTGTTCTCTGTACAGCTGCTGAAACGTTTCTTTATTGTCCACCAAATCAAGAGGATAAGTTTTTTGGGTGTAAAAGTTTCTCTCCTATCTCGTCTCACTTGACTGACTCAATTTTACTGCCTGACAGCACAGTCAATGTCTTGCCATCGCCCCACTCTATATTCTTTCTCAGCACTGCAGCTTGGTTCTTGCTGTTCCCTTCTCCTGTCCCCCTTCAGGAATCTCCCCCACATTTTAAAGGTCTAACTTAAGTCACAAAGCCTTCTCTGGCGACTTCCTGCACTCTCCTCTAATTGTCTCAAATGTGCTAATTTGGGCTTTATCCATGCCAAGAGGTCTGTGTGCACAGAAGCCAAGTTTTAAACATATTAGCATACCGAAAAACGCTGCACTTTACTGTAAGAATTCTGACTTAAGAAAGCAGCACTTCACACTTTACACATATTAAATATAAAGCTTAAAAAGATATATTTGGAAGCTTACTTGTCTTCTAAAAAGCCACTAAGTGTGTCCCTCTCCAAGATGACCTTAATAGTTGGCCCAGGAATGACCTACCACAGCCTTTCTTCTGTCATCATTCTTTTGGAGGCAAAAGTATTGTGTTCTCACCTAGCTCCATTTGTATAGCCAACAATGTGGCGATTTGCTGCTCAGGCACTCATACTTTCCTTACATATAAACCCATCTAAAGACTCTAATTCTTGTTTCCTTACTTCCTGCCCAGTCATTACTTGAAAATTCCTTCCCTTTTTTCCTACTCCTCAGTCGTTGCCCCATTTTATTAGAGGTGTCAGGTTTTGGAGCAAAATTAAGAGAATGAAGAATCCACTCACTGCCATAGTTCTACTGTCTTCAGAAAAGCTCAATTTTTTAAATCCTTTTGTGAATTTGCTTTATTCCCCAACCATAAGCACAAGAATATAAAAATACAATTTCAAATCATTTTCCTGTTTAATATTACATTAAGTTTTAACTTTAAGGTCAAATAGGCTTTCCTAAGCTGCTTTGAATGAAAGCCAACTTATGTACTTACCATGTACTGAGTTCCAAACCAAGTGT